TGTTCGAATGTTTATTCCAACATGATAAAGTACAGATTCACAGTATGTGCTCAAATTCGAGATTATTTACACGAAAGATTATATATATGAAATGACTTTCACCAAGAAGATTTTTCTTCATTATTAAATATTATGTTTATGATGTCCTGGCATACTTAAGAATCCCTGGTAGTTATGAATACACATTTATTGATGTAGAAGGACCCACACACAACTTACTCAAGTACACGTATACATACACACACAAAACAGTTAACACAAGGGATTATTTACTAGGACGATGGAGACACAATTATAGTAACATAAAAAACAAATATTGGTCAGTCAATTTTCCTTCAGAACAAAGCTTTTATATGAAGCAGCAACCGGAAATCACAAAATCCACATGACTTCCGTGGACGAAACTTGTGATTAGAGGAAATTTTTAGAGCGAAGATTCTTTTGTTTGTTTACTTTAACTATGGATCTTAATTTAAAAATTTATTTCTGTACTATATTTTTTATTTAAATATATATATATATTCAAATAAAAAATATAGTTCAGAAATAAATTCTTAAATTAAGTTCCATAGTTACATTATCACTAATGAAAGGCATTTTACAATTGGTACAATGAGCTGCTTTAAGTTTATTCTCAAAGAAGGAGATAACGACCACTCATGTGTAACTCATATCTTCATATTCACATTACTCAGCAGATAGATTTTGAGCCCGTGATATTCTTTGCACATCCCCAGCCCTTATGCGATTGTTAACGATGTATGGGAAGCAAGCTCACTTATTTTTGGACACGATTACATCATTAAACCAGCTGGACAAACACGACTTTATTCTCTTAGTACATCATAACATTTTGAGAAGTTTTTGAAACCCTCTAAAATGTATAAGCTTCTGAGAAGAATTAAGAATTTTAAAGTTAATTTTTTTTCACTACACTTATCAATAAGCTTCTTGTGTGTTTAGATATGATTCACAGTAATAAAGTACGATTAAAATGTGTAAATCACGTGATTATAACAAAAGGAATCCAGTATATTATGTGGAAACATTTTTTAATGTTTTTTTTTTCTTGATCCGCATTGTTTTGCTTTGTTTCCTTCGTCTTTCGTCGATATTCTAAACGGCATCTATTTGGTTTTATAAAGTGTAAATGTGATAAGCAATCTGCAGAATCTTTGGTAAAAGATTTAACTGAACAATTAGGTGCACAAAGTAAACATTTATAAATTAACATTTTGATAAACAATGAAGAGGAAATTTACAGAAAATACACTATTTAGAAATAAAACAAAAAAAAAATAATTAACTGAGACATAGGCCCATTTCAATGTTCATGGTTCCGTTGCCACACTTCGACTATCTGTCTTACAAAAGTTCACCACTTGTTGATGTTCGTAACTTGGTGAACTCTAGCTAAAGTCGCGCTATGCCTATTTTTATTTTCATACATATACACCTATTTTTATTTCTACCTCGTTACTTTTGTCAAATCACAGATATTCTACGTTAAAGCTATTTGGCAGAATGAATTTTTTTTTCAGATAAACTTTCAGGATATAAAATTTAAGACTATTCGAATAAAAATTTTTACTAGTTTTTAGATTATTTTTTCTAATAATCCTTTTTACACACAAATCCGAAAATAATTCGATGTTTAGTCGTTTCAAAAATCTCGTTTTCAAATTGAGCTTAAAATTATAATATATACATGTATCTCGCTCTTTATATTTCTTTTCATTAACAATAAAACTAGAGGAAAATGTATTAACGCATAAAACTAATAATTGAATAATAATTTTATAAAAATAGTCATCCTATATTGTTATTTGAATGTATTCGAATGTTATCATACATTCAGTTATGTTTAAAACATGGTAAAAGATTAAACTCAGAATTTGGTTTAGAACAGATTTTTTTTTCATCAACTAAATGTTACTTTTCAAGATATATTCTTCAATTTCAATGGAATATTATTACTCAAAAATTTTCCGACATGTCTTCATATTTTACAGAATGTCACATAAAAGTTTCTTTCCATCAAACTGGCAACATCTTGATATTTATAAACTCGAAAATATTATAATCAATCCAGTCGCTCCTGACGATAGCAGATTTCATTTTCAGTGAAATCGAATGCAAAGTCAACATATGGATATGTCAAAATTTCAAATTCTTTTATATTACTTCTGGAAATTCTTGCATTTGTTATTTTTATTAAATCTGTTAAAATATGTTCGCATTCCTATAATATGGCTATACGTGGAATGTTCTCAAATTCTTAGATATCTTCTTTGATACACTTGAGAATAAAATAAAACATTATTTACATAAACCACGTAATATATTTTTTATAGCTGTTTTCTTTTTTTTTTCGGAATAGAAAAATATATCTAAAACTTCATATAATCTTATACCAATCTAACTTTTTTTTAAGGAAAAGTATTGATTTTTTTTGTTTTAAAAAATAAGAATATCCTGGATTTTAGAATACAAATATCATTTTATGTAAAATACCCCGAATAGTTTTCATGAAATTTTGCATTATAAAATAATTAGAAAATAAATTAAAATATATTTTAAAATGTAAGAATTATTCTTGAGCACAAGTAGCTATTTTTAGTTAAATTAATTTTTGATCCAATTCTAAGAAGAATATATTTAATCAGAAAATTGCTGAATTGTGTAATATTCTTGTGAAATATTTAAGAAAGAATTTGATTAAATAATCATACATAGAAAGTTGAGTATTATTTTCAGACTCAGAATTCGCTTTTATAGCGTATTAGAAAATTTTGACCACACAAATCAAAAAATAAATTAGAGTTAAGGTGTTCTCCATTTTATAGCCTTTATTTTAATTATTTTGAAATTATTTAATATGAATAAAATAATTCACTTTGAAAAAAAGAGACTTTATTTGCTGATTTTTAAAATTTTCTTTTAAATGTGAATGTTAATAATTTGAAGTATTATTATATTATAGGAAAACAATGATTATGAGAATTCTCTAATATTTTCTATTGTCTCTTTTTTTTTCTAAAAATTTTTTTCGTGAAATACAATTTTAGCCCAAATCTTTCGAGAAGAAAGACAAATTGTGCCAAATTACGCCAGTCACTCAAAATTTTTTGTATTGGATTTCTATCCAATATGAGGATTGTAATTCGCCAAATTGGTGATAAATAAATTTGTTACCTAGAATAGGATCCAGGCAAAATTTTAATATTACGTGAAATTATCAGCAACAGAGAATATAAGCATATATTTTTTTAAAAAATTTAATAAATTTGGAAGTTTCACAGTTATAAAAACTAATAACAAAAATTTTTCAAATAAAGGAAATTCTAATTTTATCTGGTTTGGCTGCAAAACTGCGCTTTATATAAAACAATTTTCTAAGTATTGAGAAATAATTCTTCTTGAGATGAAATATCAAAAAATAAACCACAGTACTTTCTATTTCCTTGAAAAGTAATTAATATGACCTTGATTTAAAAAAAGTTACTGGAAAAATCATATTGAGCTAATATGCAATAAGCAATAAGTACTTTTTTAAATTTCTTGTATTTATTAATCAGAATATATTGAAGTTAAGTTTTTGATATTAATCAAATAAAAATGTTTGTGAACAAATCATTTCTAATTTTAGATGGCTTTCAGAAGCATCATAAGAGTTTTCGTTAATATAAAATTAAAAAAAAAAGTTTTTTAATATAGAAAATAATTTTAATCTAAAATCATATATGCTAAATATTGGTGGAAATGTAAATATAAAGGAATCTAATAATTTCCATGTTAATGTTTTGTTTATTTTCATGATACATTGATATAATATAGAGTAATTTATGATTGAAAATTTTACTCATTCCTTGAATTTTCTATTTACACAAAATGTGGCTTCCTTTTCTTCCTTCAATAGCTTTGTACAAACAATAACTTCAATAGTTATAGATTTATTTTTACAACATTTTTACAATATTTTTGAAGACTTGCACCTTCCTTCTAGATGTCTGTCTAGACAAGAAACCTTGGAAGTGAAAAATTGTCAATAGAATATGGAATTCTACTTTTGCAACTATCTTTACATTTCGTGTTTCATTTCAGCATATATTCAAAATTCCCTTGGCGCAAAAATGTCTTTATATTTTAGGACAGAGACGTAAATCTAAATTTTCTATTTCAAAACTAGTGAAAGAAATATTTTGAAGTATGGTTTTCTCAAGAAATGAATTGTTGGATTATAGTATAATAGAAAACATGCAGAAACGTTATCAGCAATTCATATAGATACTGTTTTTTCAATATAAATGTATCTTTTCTAAACTACGAAAAAAACTTATTGTAACATAAAAAGCTAAAAATGATAAAACTTCAGAATATTAAAATCTAAAGCGTGCTTCTAAGGATTTCTTTTTTCTCTTCCAGGAAAATTAATCTACTCTATCTCTATATTCTTTTTCATAATGAATGACTCCTGAACTTGTCTGTCATGAACGTAAACTATTAATGGAAATATACTTTGTGTGTAATAGTTAATTTCAAGATGTTCTGTCATAATTATGCTAATTATTAGAAATAAATGATGTTCAATGGGGAAAGAGCTTTTTTATCAGTTGGTTAATAAATTATGTTAGGTTTAATTTTTTCTTATTAACTAGAAATGTTAAAAGCTTAGAAAATATTGATATATCATTGAATATAAAAATTATGTTGAGATGTCGGAGTTAATAACATTGAAAAATTAATCGATAATGCCAGCGTTTATTCTTGAATCGAAACATTGAATTTTTGTTGTTGTCGTGTGTATTTTACATTGGGATACATATAAAATACACAAGTGGAAGTACAGAAACATACAATACAAACAGAAGAATATAGACATTTATTACAAATGATACCAGCATATAACAAGAAGAGGTACGCTGATTTCAATTCGAGATGGGAATCCACACACATTGCAGGGGAAAGTCCAACTTCTTTTCCCGAAGAAAATACATCCATTCTTTACTCGGGATTCGAACCCGAGCCCACTCGGTTACAAGTCGAGGGTCATATCCACCACACTGACTGGACGATTTAAATACTGAATTAATTCTTGTTAAAAAAATATTATATAACTTTATTTTCTAATTAATATTTAATGCTATTTTTATTTTCATTGTATTATTTTTATAATCTTTCAATTACCAATAAGAAATAATAATAAGATTTTTTTAGAATTGTTGAAATATTTTCAATTTGTTCATGTATGTGATTTAATTTTGTAACATAGCAGTAATATGAATTAAATTACTGACAAATATTGTGTTATCATTGTATTTAATTCTTATTTGAATAAAATATAGTTAGCAAGTTAGGAAAACAATGTGCAATTGTTCCAAATGTTAAAAAAATAATATTATATTCCATATTTTCCTAATATGATTACTAATACTATAATGCAGTGGTATATGATAAAACAATAAAATTTATATACAATATATTTATTACTAATCACATAATGTAATATAATATGCCATTACAGTATACTTATCCATATTACCGATTAATTGAACGCGCTTTAGCTTATTTTTTTACGTAACGGCAATTAACATGAAACTCTTATTACACCCTCCAACAAACCTGCGATAACTTTTGATTTAATCAGAAACAGTTTTAATCAGCTTACTATAGCATTGCAAATAACAAAAACGTTTTATGCACTTCCTGATTATTTCAAGACTGCATATATTAAAGAATAAACTCGTTACACATTATGACTCCATCAAACAGTACCTCGGAATTCATTTCTATATTCCTTTTATATTCCAATAGGGAAAAGTAGGGAAAAAGAAACTGAGTTGCAAATGGGAGGAAAGGATTACACTGGCTTTCACTCGGGTCTTTTCGGTTGACTAACTACCACGGGAAAGTCTTAAGCATGGCAATAAGGAAAGAATATAGAGTACGTGTTTTCCCCATTCGTGCATTCCCAGGAATTGACTCGGTTTCTTACAACGTGCTTGAGAAAGAGTTAACGGGAAAAGAGATTAAGAATTATTTACAAGAGTGCGCACTGCATGTTTGTTCAGTAAGCAAGTTTAACATAAAAACAGATATGCTTCTGTATATTCCTCAGAGATTTAATGTGAATAATATACTATTTAAACATATTACAAGAATCTTTAGAACTATTTCTGAATATAATATTTTGATTGCATTAATTTTTCTACATAAAATTGCTTCATAAAACGTTCGTAATAGTCCTTGAGATGTATTCAATGACATTTTTATTTTAATGGTATATTTAAAACAATAAATTACATCCAGTCAAAATATTTTATGAACACTTTATATGAAGATTGTTTATTAATATTTTTTAACTGGAAATAGGGGGCGGTAGGCCTAAATGCGGCGGGATGCCGACAGTAAAATTAACGTCGATAATACTCAAGAGAGAGAAATAAAACTTTAGTCCATAACAAACAAATATTTATTATGATTAACATAGGTAAACAACAATAACAAATTAACAATGAATTTAAAGAAAGAAACATTAGACAAAGAGGCACTTAAAGAGCAAGAAACACATTCTACGACGAAACGACTGGGAGAGTACGTCCGTTCGGTAGGAGAAAACTCGTGGAAGTGAGACGAATTGTAGGAGGCTCGACAGGCGACAATAGCGGGGATGTACAAGGTACAAACAGTTACATTCATATTTGGGTAGAAGTAATGTTTGGTCTCGTTAGAAAATAAATTACGTTTTTTTTCTATTTTTTAATTTTTTTTTAATTCTCATTTGGGAGAGTAAAAGAAACACATAATATTTGCCCTTTAAATAATATTTTTTTTATGAAAAAGAATTTTATTAAAAAACTTTTTTATTAAAATTAAGGGGACATGGTACGATTTAAGCAAATATTTTTAATTTAAGGATTTTCAAATTTTTTTTGGTTGCCTCCTATGTGTGTATACTATGTAAAATGGATTTTGTGCTCAAAATTTCATAAAAATTTATTCATTTAATTTTTTATGGAAAAAACTTAAAATTTTTTAAATTATTTTAAAATGCTACTCCTCCAACAAAAATTTACGTACACGCATGAAATTTGATTTACATGTACGTCCAACTATGTTTAACAAAAGTTGGTATCGGTTTTGCGATAACACAATTGGTATTTGTACAATACTTCTTTTTATGAATCCTTATCGAAAATTTATTAAAAAATTTAAAAATTCTAACTTCAATTATTTTTTAAAAAAAAAGTATTGCTTCGATTCAAAAATGCACACCAACTTTTGTTATACGTACTATTAACAATAGGTAAAAAAATTCAAAGCATTAGGCAGAATAGAAAAAAAAAGCCTTAGCATTTTAAATGAAGACAAACTAATTATTTTACCTTTCTGAGATAAGTAAGTTTAAAATTTTGATTTGCCATAGGTATGTGAATAAAAATAAATGTAAAAGCTATCATAATCCTGCGTTTTTTAAGTTTAGAATTTTCAAATTTTGTGAGGTTATAGAAAAGGATATAAAGAATAATTTATAGGCTAGAAAAATTAGATTTGATTTTTTGACCGATTTTTGTCAATTGAATCGTACTGTGTCCCCTTAAGATTATTTTGTTTAAAAAGTACAAAGAGAAGTTAAATTTATGATTTTGTTACAAAAAACGATCAACAGCGTGTGCGTAAATTTATATTTATGTACAAAATTTTTAATTTTATTCAAAGGGTCTGAATTATTTTCATCAAATAATAAGCATGCTCTTATTCCCACAATTTAATTTTAAATGCAACATTGCCAGACCTTGACTATCAAGGAGGACATTTTTAGATTTGTGTGAATAACAAAGCAAATTATTATTTTTTTACTTTACTCAAGGAATATAATCTGAAGCAGATTAAAAAATATATTAGCAATGAAGTAGTATGTTAAAAAGTAATAAACCTAAAAAACTGAACCCAGTGAATTTTTACCGAAATTTTTTTCTCGCGTAAAACTGAAAATAAATTAAGCATTTAATATACCTTTGTTAACGATGACACAATTTCATTTTAATGAATTTAAATCCTTTCGTATAATGTGTCACATAATTTTTTTAAATAGCAGATTAATTTAAATATATATTATTATTATTCATCATTATCGTTTATTATCATTTAATATGACTGATTATTATTTATTTTAATCCTGCATACTTTTTTTTAAGAAAAATGCGCCTTTACCTCTTTATATATTTCAACCTTATTTATTTTTTATCGCTTTCTGCGTACCAATTTATCTTTAGATACAGGCTAATTTATTTTTATCTTGTATTATCAATAATTATCTTTTCCATTCAAAGAAATAACTGAATATAGAATACAAAATTATATTACAATGCTAAAATA